TAGAGCTGTAATGAGCGACTTGGGAGTTCATGAAGAAAAACTATGGTAGGTACTGATAATTCACGAACCTGTACCTGAAGGTTCTTAGTTGAAACTTATTTTGTATTTACAGGTTTCTGTACGACGACGAAAAAATTTTTGTGTTCTCAGACGTTCCTCATATGATAAAATTGTTAAGGAACCACTTCCTGGACTAAGGTTTTATTATAAATGGGAAAGAAGTGAAAAAAGAAATAATTTTGGAGCTGCTTTCGTGTACCTCGAACGATCTGTCAATAACACATACAATTTCGGTGAGCCATCTTAATGTAGCTGGACCCCACAGACAAAAGGTGAAAACGGCTACAAAACTATTTTCCAACACCATAGCGCAAGCTATTAAACGAGCAGCGACTCTAGGCTATCTAAGTGGACATAGTTGGAATGAATGTTTCGAGTTATTTAAATTGGTAATAATTTTATTTAAGTAATTTAATAAGAATTATGTATTTAAAAATGAATGTGTATACAAATTTTAGACTAATGATTGGTTCGATGTTATGAACGTAAAGGTGCCTCACCCAGACGGAAGAGAACGACGTAGGGCTTACGGATTATCTCTTGACGCACAAGATACAATTTTGGATGAAATGACGAATATGATGCAAAATGTGAGGGTCATTGGAAAACTAAGTTTGTTGCCATCTTAGAAAGGTAAAATTTTCATTCATGTGTAGTCTAGATTCAATGAAAAAGTAATATAATTATCAATTTATAGGAATTATACAGTCAAATAGAGCAGTGAAATTGTTATTTCAATATTTAAAGAGCCGTTTCAATGTAAAATACATTCTAACCTATCGCTTAAATCAGGATGTATTAGAAAACTTCTTTGGCGTTATTCGTGCAAAAGGCGGCTTACATGACCATCCTGACCAACAAGAATTTAAATACCGGCTTAGGGGATATATTCTTGGACACAACCAAGGTGTGATATCCGACAACGCCAATATCGAAGTTGACGACACCCCAGATCTTGAAGTTTCTCAGCCACCTCTTACAGGTATATTATTCAAATAAATAATTTCCCAAAGACATAATAGTAACTCTTTTTACTTTTTTATTAATTACAGTAAAAATTTTCAAGGCTATAAATGTCTCTGCAATAAGGGAGGAGCCGACTGAAGAGTTCCATATTAATGAATTGGAGTATGACGGACTAGAAAACCTTGCTGGGTATATTTGCCATAGGTTTCGAGATGAAATCCCCAGCACATTGTTACAAAGTGAGGAAAACCAGTCATACTCTTGGGTAAATCAGTTGAACGAAGGTGGATTATCTGTTCCAAGCAGTGTTATGATGGATAACATGCGTCGGATGGAGGATATTTTTAAAACGATCAATGGGGAAAGCTTGATGATCACAACCCAGTTTTTGGAAAAGCATATTGAAAAGGCTTCTGATATAGACTGTGACAGAAAAATTAAAAAATTATTCTTTAGGTCTAGAATGTACATAGTAATAC